TGAGTTTCATGCACGAGACAAGTTATTGGGGATAATATTTTCTCTGACACGACAAAAACATTCGTTGCGTCTTCTTGACTGTCTCGTTACGTTTGCGAGAAAGTTTGCGGTGTTGACGCTTCTATCAAACAGTTTGTAAAATAAATAGAAGATACTTGAAGCAACACAAAACGTAAACAAATGGTAAAATTCAGTTGTTTAATTGTCGTATGAGTTAAACGACAACTTATCAATGCACATGATATTCTAAACTTTAAACAAGTAAAAGTATGGTGATAAGCCGCGAGCATACACGAATATTAGCATCAAACATGTGATTAATAATTAAATCGAAATTTTAAAAAACACTGAAGATTTCAAAAGTAATTTATTAAAACATCTTTCAGTCGGTCTAGAAATAAACAAAGATGTTACGCGAAAAAAGTAATTTGAAACAATATTGAAAATTGGTTATTTAAAATAATTAATTTATTTATCGTTGCACTTTGCATATATAATAAAAACCGCATGTATTTAGATATTACATAAAAAATATTAAATACTATATGAAAAAGATTTCTAAATTAGCGGATTTTCAGCAATTCCATCTTATCCCCTTTTCTCAAGAATAATTTATTCTCCATTGTACTTTGCAATAAAAATTGTGCTGCGTATTTGAGTATTATGTAAATATGGTCGTTGAAAAAGACTTTTATATTGCAGATTTTCAACAGCAATTCTGTCTTATCCCCTTTAGCACAAGTAATTTTATCGATGCAAAAGCGCGGAAACGAAGGCGATGACAAAACTCGATTGTTTAATCCGCATTTAATGACGCGCCGGGGCTGAGCCCTGATTATCGAACGTGAAAAACGACGTCGCGGTGTCAAGACAACGGGTTGCGGAACGAAATTATATGCAATTAAAAAGCAAGAAAAACTGTTAAAATGACAGTAAAATTAAATCATGGACAACGATTATAATTTACGACCGGAGAAATTTACATCCGCGCGATTTCTAAAAATCCGAAACGCAGGACTTTTCTGCCTTCCAGACATGCTGAACATTATTATTATTATTAATATTACTTGTTTATCGACACTAACGAATCGTACACGATAACGCCTGACTGATTGCGAGTGATTTACTTCCGGGAAGTTTGAAGTATCCCTGACACGTATTAGTGTCTTCTCGCAAATCATTATATCGTGAAATAATCATGCTCGCGACTACCGGTGCTCTCGGCTGTAACTTTCCTGAAGAATTTCTTTTCGCTAATTTATTTATTTTTCGAACCGCGACTTACTTCCGGACATACTTTCACGCAACGTAGCGCGACGTCATCTCGCGCGTGCAAGTAATTAATGTGATTACCGTTACGCAATCTCACCATGATAATGCTTTATCACGTTAGTATAACGTAACGATCGTCGTCCCATCAATCTTCGTCGCTGGATCGCGCAAAATACCCGACTGCCACATAATTTTTAATTGCAGGATCACTAATTTATGATTCTGTATATAATTGTGATTTACTATTAATAATATGTACGCACTTGACTGCGCAGCTATTCATGCCTGTAATTATGTACCAATGAATGCTTAATGAATGATTTAGTCATTAAATTATACACTAATTCCGTCGTTCGCAGGCGACAGAATGGTGGCTGAATGACATGTACCTGTCCGTTCCACTGGCTCTCCCAATTAACAGCAATCCCGGCTTGGCCGCAAAACCGAAGAGATTTGCAAACCAGCAAGAAGCCGCGGTGTTTCTCGCGCGATTTCTCACCGAGTTGCTTAATTATCAGGAATTACTAGACAGGTGAGATAACGCTCTAATTTTCCGCAATCTTGCGCTCGTTCATTTTATATGATAATTCGGAATGCCGATTGTACAATTTATCGCAAGTTGTAAAATTTCGTTGCTTCGATTGCTGAATACAATCGAAAATATATATATTGGGTGTTCGCGATCTCATTAAACTCGAGCGTAGAAATTTCGCATTGTTCTACGATTGTTTCTAAACAACAAGCATCGTTTATGACGATGCGATTCGCAATGGCGATCGATTTGAACGGCATTTTGGAATATTCATTGACATTAAAAAGTGCAAGTAATCGAAGGGGCGACATAACGGAACGTGCCATCGATCCTTTTGCGGGACAAAAAGAAGCCACGTAAAAGTCAATTTGGAAAGGGCGTATGTCTGCGAGGAAATCCGGATTATAAGATCCATAGAGAGCGAGCATAAAGAGGAAAGGGATCCGCACGAGAGAATGAGCGGACGTTTCTGCGAACTCAAAGGATCCTCGAAATCCTGCATCCGGACGAGACTGAGTCGGAGCCGCGAGAGGAGAATGTTCCTTTCTTCCAGAAACTAACGCAAATTCGCGGATAGAGAAGGATGGGAAGAACGCTTTTTAATGGCAAACATAACTCACCTCTTTCTCTAAAGTAGAACACGAGAGAGAGAGAGAGAGAGAGAGAGAGAGAGAGATTTGCAAAGTAAGATGCAGTCAACAGGAAATTGATCCTAGCTTTACTTTTTAAAACTTCGAAAACTCATCCTTTTCTACAAAAATTTAAAACAAATAAATGAAAAAACGAATTAAATACGTTAATAAATTTGGCTTTTATAAGTTTTCTTTTTTTGATATTACAACGATATAAAAAGAATTTCAAAGTTAATGTTTACTAACTTGTATATTTTTCTTATTATTTTGTACTTTTATTGCATTATTATTGTATATTTTTTATTATTTAAACATTAATTCTCATATGTCGCGGGTATCAAAATAATATATATATTTCTTATATTCTATGTAAGCAATAAGTTGAAAAATTTATTATTTATTACTAGCTGATACATCAAATTCACATTGTTGTAAGTGCCAAAGATTAATTTGTGCGGTTATTAGTGGTTTGTTCAAAACACATGCAGAATTACTGTAGAAAAAGAGAGAGAGAGAGAGCGAGAGAGGGGGAAGAGAAAGAAATAAATTTTTTGAATTTCGAGAACAGATCTGGACTGGAGGTTGACCGTGTAAAATCCAAAGACGGCAAGATGATGCAACCGCTCTGCATGGCACAACATTACCAAATATTTCGGATTTATCGGCGACCCGGTATAAACAACGACGAACAAATTATCTTGGATAGAGCATCCTCTGGCGATCATATTATCGTTGCACATCACAATCAGGTGAGATTACTGCAAAATTACTGCATTGATATAAAATGATGCAAATCTTTGCAACTTTCTTTATTCCATTCTTCTATGTTTCAAGGTTTCACTTTCTGATTAAATTATAATTATAATTACATGTAAACTGATTCGCTTGATTATCTCATCAGTTAAAAAATTTAATCAATTTTCTAAACTGTCGAGAGAGAAATTTATACTTATGTAATACGATATCGGTAAAGGAAACAATTTGCGCACGTTACTACGACGTTCATTCATTCTGTTACAGTTTTATAGCGTGCCCGTGAGAGCGTCAGATCGAGGACGGATCACGGAAATCGAATTGATTCAACAGTTATTGAGGATCATGGAGACCAAAGCCGATCCCAGAACTCCGCCGGTCGGAATTCTCACTACCGCGAAGCGACCAGCCTGGGCGAAAGCGCGGGAGGAGCTGATAAAAAGTATGACATGTTTAAAAGAGTTTATTGGATATAAGCATCATATTTGCACGAGAAAACACTTTAAATGCTTCATTCAAGGGATTTCAGAAAAAAAGGGACAATTCTAATAAAAATACCGCAACTTTAAGAATTGACGAAGATATTAAAATGGTTTAAGTGGATACAAAAAGCTCGGTATTTCTTGAATTTATTTTTTTTTTTTTTGTTGAAAACAACCCCTAAAAATTTTCGCTTTTATCACGTTGATCTTTTTGTCAGAATCGCTATTATAATTTTATATAACCTGTCAGAGAGGAAAATTTTTATTGATTCATTCTATTCGTGTAACGTCCGATTTCCTGCAAAGAATAAAGACTTTAAATTTAATTTAATTTTGCACGGTAACACAGTTACCGCACGCTCCGAGATAGCTGTGCTTTCGAAATCTT